TTGGCCTGATCCAACACTGGCTTCTCTTATGTTCTTATATGTTCTTATGACGTCACTGGCAACAGAGGCCTAGGCATTCAGTTTGCTGCTGGTTAGTTCCCCCCTCTCCAGTTGCCAGGGTGTACCTGGAAACCCTAGCAAATGTGTTATGATTGGATTGGATGATTGGATGGTAGCTGTACCATGGGGGGGGGGGATGGAGTTGACTGCATTAGGGAGAGAGAGAGAGAGAGTCGAGAGTGTGGAGGGAAGAGGTCATGAGGGGCTGTGTAGTGTGTGAGAAATCGGTGTTCTGTGTGGGAATGTTTAGCCTAAGTGGCAAGTGAGAAAATAAGCCTTTGCGGCTAGGTCTGCTTAAGGAGCGTAAGAGAAAGAAGAACTGTACCTACCTGAAACCATTACACTTATGAATGCTATTGAAACTGTTAATGCTGTTGTACTTTTAAATGAGCTTTATGTCTAGGAGAAAACAGCTATTTCATTTAGGGTACAGGATCCCCTTTTATCTCAGAGCCACCCCCGTGCACGGACTGTTCTGTCCTTCTACCAAATATAGATAGAACAAAGCCATTCTGTTCTCTGGGTCCAACCAGGAACTCTCAGGCAAGAGCCTTTGGTGACAGCACAAATAAGTTGGAAGTGCAGAGGGAGGCCAGGAGCCCGCATGACACAGGTCACCTCCGAACACTGCAGAGAGGTGCCTTTAGAGGTGCGACATGCGAGGGGTCTCTCCAAAGAAGAAAGAAACGTTGCACAGCCCCTTTCTGAATGCTACGGAGTGCACTCTGCCTTCCACTTTCTAGGGTTTTATGAACAGAGCGTTGCTTCTTGGCCTCCGGCTCTTGGCTTGGGGAAGCAACAAAACGGGCATGGCACAGATCTCTCCCGCTGGCTGTAACCTTGACCAACTTTTCTCTCTCCCTTGGCCACAGTACAGAGCATCCATATGGTGCCGGCTGCACACTTGGATGAATCGGAGACTGGAGGAGGGAGGCCGCTTGCTGCTACAGCAGGCAGTTCCTATGGCGGAGTAGTGCGCCTCTGCATCGGCTGCCTCCCAGCAGAACAGAGACCGACTCAATGACCAGCAACTTTCTGGCTAGTTTCTGAGCCAAACAGGGATTGGGCGGACTTTTTTTGGAGCAGCATCGAGCTCTGTCTGCCTGTGCTTTGGGGGGGGGAGGGGGCGGACAGAATCCCGGTATTTCTGCAGAGTGGTCGGCTTTACACTCCCGGCTTGTAATGCCCTCCCATTGCTGCTGCTTCCTGGAGCAGAAGAAGCGGCGGGTGGTGGTCCTACAGCCTTCCCAGCTCTGGTGGTCCAAGTGGCTCTCGGGGGAGAGGAGGAGACGGTTGTGTGGAAAGCTTCTTCTTGACTCATGGCTGGCGTCCCGGCACATGGCCCTCACCAGAGGACTGCCTCTCCACAAATGTGTGCACGAAGAGAAACCCCAGGCCTCTTGGGTCATGGTTTTCAGTGGGGCCCCCTGTTGGAATGTCCTCCAGACCGAGTGCCAAGAGAGACTAGATAGCTAGATGGGCAAGCTGACCTTTCTTCCGGTCTCTTCTCCTCTGCCACTGTCCTCTTTAATAGGCAGATTGTGATCTCAGGGACCAGTTTCCCTTTCCTGCTTCTCTCTCACTCTGACTGAAGACTTGCTCTCTACCTGTGCACACCAAGAGAGGGACATGCGGTCCTCTCTTGGCACCACGAGGCAGATGGGCCTCTCACCATCCACCTGCATCCTTTAGCTGGTAAGCTAGCAATCTATCAAACTCTGTTTCCTATCCAAAGTGTACTTCTCACATAAAGAGAGGAGTATTTCTGTTCTACAGGAGCTGCGGTGGCTCAAGTGGTTAAGATGCTGAACTGCAGGCTGTGAAAGGTCAGTAGTTCAGCAGTTCGAGACCCAGGTACCGCATGACGGAGTGAGCTCCCATCTCTAGTTCCAGCTCCTGCCAACCTAGCAGTTCGAAAGCAAGAAATTGCAAGTAGATAAATAGGTACCACTTCGGTGGGAAGGTAACAGCGTTCCGTGCACCTTGGTGGTTAGTCATGCCGGCCACATGACCACGGAAATGTCTTTGGACAGCGCTGGCTCTTCGGCTTGGAAACGGAGATGAGCACCGCAACCCTAGAGTTGGACTCGACTGGCTTTCGAGCAAGGGAAACCTTTACCTTTACTATTTATCTTCTAAACTTGTAACGTGGCTCTGTGTAGCTTTGTAAGCTGAGTAACCTGGTAAAGTGATGCTCCTGCCTCTTTATTGTAGCTTTATTTAAGCACTCTGCTAATGAATGGTGACTGGACTAACCAGACCAGTGAACCTCAATACCCCCTTCACACCTTCAAGGGGCAGTCGGCAGGAGGAGGAGAACAGGGTACGTGCACAGATAGAGTGTTGCTAAGGCGGCTTCTCCATGCTATTATGGACCTGGACTTGATGTAGGTCTAAAGAGGGAGTTCTGTAGCAGCCCCCCCCCCACCTCCCAAGTCTGCAGTGAGGCTCAACGGTTTGGGACTCGGGAGCCTGGCCCATTCCGTGCTCTTTGACCCACCCGTGGTGGCGCTATGCCAGGGAAGACTTGTGTGCCTGAGGAGGCAGAACACGATGCCCCGTGAAGTCCCAGCCTAGCCTTTTGGCAGAGACGTTTCTGTTGGGACTGTGGACGGGAGGCTGGAGAGACGGGTGGGTTGTGCCTGCTAGACTTCCGCATCTCTTTTGTTCTTAATTGCAATCATTATGGAAATGGCGTGTTTCATAATTATTGTAATTAATACGAAAACGAAAACAAATTCTCTACGTAAACAGCCTCCAGTGTGTGTGGGGAAACCCGTGATTTTCTTTAGTTTTCTTATGGTGGTTTTGGCCTCTGTTGGTTCCACTTTTACCGGACAGGCAGCATTTTTCTCATAAGGGCGCAGAGAGAGCATAGGGTTCCTTCGGGGAGAAGGGGGGCTTCTTGAATGACTGCAAGATTTGCACACATGTGTGAGATATTCTAAACCTGAAAGATATATGAAGTCAGACTTTTCGCCGCCTTCTCTCCTCCCTACTTGGGTGCGCTAAATTTTCCCCAGAAGTCTGCTCTCTTCGCCTTGTCTGCTGCTCTTCCAACCTTACCTCCTCCCAAGCATAAGTACCTCGAGGACCAGCTCCTGTCGCCTGCCTGTCCGCCCAACAGCCTTACCCTCCTTGTGCCACCAGATGCCTCGTCCGTCTGCCTCTTCCTCCTGCTCCTGTTCTTCAAGCTAAGTGGCCACAGGGCTGCCTGTCTTACTGTTTGGAAGCTTTCCTAGCCAATCTCCTGTAGACTTTAATGTTAAACATGGGTGGCATTCATTGCCTCAAAAAGGGCCCCCCTGTATCTTTCTGAAATTTGGCAATGTGGGTCTCCTTGGGAAATATGCAGCCCCCGCCCCCAAGTTTTGTTCAGTTTGGACGGAACACCCTGAAGGTCCAGACAGACCTTAGGCAAAGGGTGGGTCATCCATTGAAATTAATGGGTAGGGCTACCATAAGAACATCAGAGAAGCCAAATGTTGGATCAGGCCAATGGCCCAACCAGTCCAACACTCTGGGTCACACAGTGGCCAAAAATACCAGGTGCCCTCAGGAGGTCCAACAGTAGGGCCAGGACACTAGAAGCCCTCCCACTGCTGCCCTCCCCAAGCACCAAGCATACAGGGCATCCCTTGCCCCAGCCTGAGAGTTCCTATCTATACCTTGTGGCTAATAGCCACTGATGGACCTCTAACCCAGATGTTTATCCAATTCCCTCGTATAAGAACATAAGAGAAGCCAGTGTTGGATCAGGCCAGTGGCCCCTCCAGTCCAACACTCTGTGTCACACAGTGGCCAGAAATACCAGGTACCCTCAGGAGGTCCAGCAGTGGGGCCGGGACACTAGAAGCCCTCCCACTGTTGACCCCCCCCCAGGCATCAAGAAGACAGAGCATGACTTGCCCCAGCCTGTGAGTTCCTATCTATCTCTTGTGGCTAATAGCCACCAATGGACCTCTGCTCCATATGCTTATCCAATTCCCTCTTGAAGCCGTCCATGCTTGTAGCCGCCACCACCTCCTGTGGCAGTGAATGCCACGTGTCAATCACTCTTCAGGTGAAGAAGGACTTCCTTTTATCTGTTCTAACCCGACTGCTCAGCAATTTCACGAAGTGCCCACAAGGAGTTCTTGTATTGTGAGAAAGGGAGAAAAGCACTTCTTTCTCGACCTACTTCTTTCTCTACCTGCTCTATCCCACGCATAATCTTGTAAACCTTGATCATGTCACCAGCTCTGGGTTGGGAAATACCTGGTGGTTTAGGGGCGGAGCCTGGGGAGGGTGGGGTTTGGGATGGGGAGGGGCCTCATTGGCTTACCGTGCCACAGAACCCACCCTCCAAAGTGGCCATTTTCTCCAGGGAGACCAATCTCTGTTGCCTGGAGATCAGTTGTAATTATGGGAGATCTGCAGGCCCCACCTGGAGGCCTCTTACCTGGAGGGCAGGATAGTTTTTTTTTGGGGGGGAGGGAGATTTTGTGCGGCTCTTTGGTCTTCCCCCTGGAGCTGGTGAAACCAGAATAAATGATGCCAGAACAAAAAAAAGCACTTAATTTACATAATTTATTCAGATCACAGCGTTTGGGTTACCTTGGTATGGAGATGAGGAGGCGCTACTGAAGGGTGGCTGGGTGGGGTGAGGACGTGGGTGGGGGGCGTGGGATGGGGTTTCCTCCACCTTTCTCCCGAGCGGTTGCCGCTCTTTGGTGCCTGGTGGAAAGGCCCCTCAAGGGTCTCTCACAGCACGAGAGTTTTGGAACCGAGGAGTCCTGCCCGTCTTGAAAGCACCTCCGCACCGCACGGTCTTGTGGACGGGGTGAGTTTTGCTCTGGAGGACCGATGTGACCCCCTCCCTTTGAGTGCCGATGTGGGGAGCTGGAGGCTGGCCGGAGGCCCCTGACCTCCCCCACAGCCTTGGGCTGCCCCCCCCAGCCCTATCTCTCGGAGAGGAACGCCCACCTGCTTTGACTGGGCGGCGGCTGGGGCAGGAGGTGGCGGCTGGGGCTGATTTCTCCCACATCTGTATAGAGGAATGGGTCCCCAGCTGCCCTGCGGGAGGGGAGGGGCCACCCCGGGCTGGGGGAGGAGGCAGAGGATCAGTTCTCCATCTGGGCTCCTGCCTCCCAAACTTAAGAGCGCTGACTGCCTGTGGAGCAGGGGGACTCCTTGCCTCCGTGGGGCCTGGCTTCTTCACAGGTGGGGAACGGGTGGGGCAGGAGGCCACCTCCTGAGGCAGAAGAGTGTTTGCCAAAGGGGGGGGGCGAGATTCTTCACCCCCTTCCGTCAAGGGAAGCTTTGCCAGCCCCCCCGTCTTGCCCTCCTTCTGACCCACCATTTAATACCCAGCTCTGTCCCAGGAACACGCGCGCGCGCGCGCGCGCACACACACACACACACACACCGTCTTCGACTGACTCAGACCCTCGGGTGCATCCAAGTTAGACTTGTCTGCTCTGACTGGCTGCTCTCTCTCCAGGGTCTCAGGCTGAGGACTTCCCCATCACCCACTGCCTGGTCCTTTTTAACTGGAGATGCTGGGGATTGAACCTGGGACCTTCTGCCTGCCAAGCAGAAGCTCTGCCACTGAGCCACAGCCCCTCGTTACGGCTCTCCAGGGTCTCAGGCGGAGGTCTCTCCCATCACCTCCTGCCTGGTCCTTTATAACTGGAGATGCCACTGGGGATTGAACCTGGGACCTCCTGCATGCCAGGCAGAGGCTCTGCCACTGAGCCACAGCCCCTCTTTACAGCTCTCCAGGGTCTCAGGCTGAGGTCTTTCCCATCACCTCCTGCCTGGTCCTTTCAACTGGAGATGCCAGTGGGGATTGAACCTGGGACCTCCTGCATGCCAAGCAGAGGCTCTGCCACTGAGCCACAGCCCCTCTTGACAGCTCTCCAGGGTCTCAGGCGGAGGTCTTTCCCATCACCTCCTGCCTGGTCCTTTTTAGCTGGAGATGCCGGGGATTGAACCTGGGGCCTTCAGCATGCCAGGCAGAGGCTCTGCCACTGAGCCACAGCCCCTCTTGACAGCTCTCCAGGGTCTCAGGCGAAGGTCTTTCCCATCACCTCCTGCCTGGTCCTTTTTAGCTGGAGATGCCGGGGATTGAACCTGGGGCCTTCAGCATGCCAGGCAGAGGCTCTGCCACTTGGCCATGGGCCCTCCCCATGCTACTCTTCCCACAGAGGGAGACAGACAGCTCAGTCGCCCTGCATGAGGCCCCTTCAGAAGAAGACTTTGCCCCAGTGAGTGACAGTTCCCTACCCTGAGCATAACAAACGGGCAGCTGGGGCCGACGTTCTTCTCTGCAGTGCTTGGGGGACGTGCAGCCAGGGTGGCCCGGAAAAGAAAACCGGGGGAGCAGAGCTCCAGCACAGAAGGAGGATGTTGGGCTTGCTTGGGCCTCAGTGTCAGAGGCTGGAATGGGAGACCTCACATTTTTGGCACAGAAGGGACCAGGGACAGACACAGGAACACAGGAGGAAGTGGCCTTCTACTGAACCAGGCCCCTTGGCCCGTCAGAGTCAGTCTTGTCTACTCTGAGGGGCAGCGGCTCTCCCTCCAAGGTCTCAGGCAGGAAAGGGTCTTTCACACCACCTACAGCCTGGCCCCTTTTAACTGGAGGTGCCACCGAGGATTGAACCCAGGACCTCCTGCATGCCCAGCAGAGGCTCTGCCACAGATCCACAGACCCCTCCCCTAACAACAGATCTCAAGGGACCCCTGCAATTGGCAGTGAGGAGGAGGAAGCCTCTGGATTGTCCAGGCCGGGGAGAAATAGTGGGCAGCTGGCCTTCTGGCCTGGCCGACACTCGAGCTGGACTCCCTTTCTGCTCCGGAAGCCAACACCCAGGGCCTGGGTTGGAAGCCACCCATCTAGGTTTGTCCTGGTGCACGTATGCCCAAGGGCCCAGCCGGGTCATGGCTGTACCCCCCCCCCTTCCATAAGCCAGCGTCTCAGTAAGCCAGGCTGGGACTTGAGCTGGGCTAGGTGGCCGTGGTGGTCTGACTCTGGGTGACGTAGCCGGCCTCTTCCTTAACACACACACAGGCCAGTTAACGGTTACTTATGATCAGTGTTCCCTGTAAGCTGAGCTAGTGCAAGCTAGCTCACCGTTTTTTAGCCTCCGGCTCACACATTTTTGCCTTCGCTCAGGAAGGGATGGCTCCAGAGCAAACGAATTTATGCAGCAGCCAAATCGCTGGCTCACAACTTGAATGCCCAGGAGCTCACAAAGTAGGATTTTTGCTCACAGGACTCCATAGCTTAGAGGGAGCCTTGCTTATGATGTACCCCTAAAGCCCCTAGCCAAAGGAACAGAAAGCAGGACAAGGCAGGGGAGAATCCCCCCCCCAGTTCCTGAGCAGAGAGGAGGCAGAGAAGGGAGGCCCGGGGGAGGGAAGAGGTTCAAACCAGGGCTGTGTAACCGAAGAGGTAAATGGACCGGGACAGGCGTGGGGGTTTACCATCCTGCTGCACCCCTTTCTCCTGGTGCCCCACCAGGGCCTTGGTCCCGTCCAATCCTCCCCAAGAGGAACTGCACTCTGGGTAGAACTGAAACTGAGACCAACTGTACACCCCCCCCCCCACTGGGGTCATTTCCTGTGTCTTTCACGGGGGGGGGGGGAGAGGAAGATGTGGCTGGGCACACTCTTGTAGAGCTTCAGAGGAGCTGGCATCCTCTCCGACAGCTGCAAATATGGGGCTCCTGAATGCCTCCGCCCTCCTGCCCCAGTCTCCAGGACGGCCCTCTGACTTCCAGGCACATCCCTGGATGCAAGAAGCTGCCTTCTGCCGAATCAGGCCCTTGGTCCGTCAAAGTCAGCCTTTCCCATCACCTTCTGCCTGGTCCTTTTAATAACTGGAGATGTCGGGGATTGAACCGGGGAAACTGCTGCATGCCAAGCAGCCATGGGCCGTGCCCCGTTTTTTGCCCGGTCTCTCCATGACTCCCCCAATGTGCAGGCACCAACTGCAGGGAGACGTAAGGATGCCCCATCTTGTAATGCATACGGTCGGTCTTCTTTTAGCCAATCGGAAATCAGAACGTGGCCACGATGCACGTGTTTGCTCATCTCGTGGCCAATCACAAGCCGGAATGCAGATGCAACGGATGAGCGAGAGCCAATCGGAAACCAAGAGGCTGTCGTGAGGGTCCTCTTTGCTGCCGTGTGTGGATCGATGCTCCTCTCGATCAGGCCAGCTGGAAACGTGGAACTGGCTGCGGGGTATCCCCTCCGGAGAAGACCGGCGAGCGGGAGCAGCGGCAGTTCCCTCTGGACTAAGCGAAAGCCAAATGAGGATGGAAGGTGGGAGTCTGGGCCCTTCGCAGCCAGACAGGATGGAAAGGGCCAAGCCGAACGAAGAGGGGAAGCCGTCTGGATCCAGCTTAGACTCGGGGCCAGCCAGAAAGTACATTGTTGGTAAAAACGTGGGGTCCTGTCCCAGCCAAGCACGGTGGGGGGGGAGAGAGGCTGGTCCCTCCAGGCCGCCCCTCACAGTCAGGGAGGCCGACTCCCCTTTGGCCTGCAGCCTGGGTAAATCAAGGGAGCCCTCCCCTGCCGCCCGTGAGCCAAGTCTGCCTGCCTTCTGCCCTGGTGCCCGGAGGAGACCCTCTCACGCCAGCGGCTGGAGGTGGACGGCGGGGCTGTTGGGTCGTGCGGCCAGGATGTAGATGGTGTTCTCTCTCAGGAAGGTGAGCCAGTTGACCGTTCGGCTGTGGAGAAGGCGGAGAGGGAGAGGTCAGCCAGGCGGAGCTGGGGGGAGCCAGCACTGGGGCAGCCCAAGACGGCCCCGTAGTCTGCTTGCATCCAAGGGCCCAACAATATGCAGAGAATAGTACAAGAATGGGCACAGTAATAAGACCAAGGAAAAAAGGAAAAAGAACTGTGACAATTTAGCGCTTGGTACTATATTCATTATATTGTATTTTATATATATATATATTTTATTTTTTTTTGTGGCTCAAGTGGTTAAGATGCTGAACTGCAGGCTGTGGAAGGTCAGTAGTTCAGCAGTTCAAGACCCGGGTGCCGCATGACGGAGTGAGCTCCCGTCTCTAGTTCCAGCTCCTGCCTACCTAGCAGTTCGAAAGCAAGAAATTGCAAGTAGATAAATAGGTACCACTTCGGTGGGAAGGTAACAGCGTTACGTGCGCCTTGGTGTTTAGTCATGCCGGCCACATGACCACGGAAATGTCTTCGGACAGCGCTGGCTCTTCAGCTTTGAAACGGAGATGAGCACCGCAACCCTAGAGTCGGATTCGACTGGCTTTCGAGCAAGGGAACCTTTACCTTTACCTTTTTACTATATTCATAAATCATAATATACAATAACAGAAAATAAGTAATATATGTAGTGAATGTAGACGGTGGTCTCCGGAATGCTGTGCCGTTTCGACAATGATCTTCTTCTGAACAAGGGTGTGTACAAAAACTGTCTTTCAACAATTCATTTCTCTTGGTGACGTATTGGAAATATACTGTTGATTCACTTCATCATGAGGCTATGCTTACAGCCTTGTTCTTCAATGGGCTATGTTTATTTATTTAATTTATTTATTTAATTTACTTAGACCCTGTGAGGTAGGTTAGGCTGAGAAAGAGTGAAGTCTGTGCATGTCGGAGCGGCCCAGGGCAGGGATCCCGCTGTGGACCTTCGGTGGGGCCAGCGCCAGAGGTTTATTTATTTATTTATTATTTATATTTTTATCCCGCCCTCCCCGTAGGCTCAGGGCGGCTTACACGGTATGGAGTCCGGCTTACACGGCGGGAGTGCTCCTGGATGCCTCCTTAACGATGGAGGACCAGGTAGCAGCCACGGCCAAGCCAGCCTTCCACCACCTTCGGCTGATTAGGCAGATGGTTCCCTTCCTCGAACGCAATGACTTGGCAGCAGTGATCCACATGATGGTCACCTCGAGATTAGACTACTGTAATGCCCTCTACACGGGCTGCCCTTGTCTCAAATCCGGAAGCTGCAGCTGGTGCAAAACGCCGCGGCCAGGCTTTCGGTGGGACTCCCTATTCGGGAGCACGTCCAGCCTGTGCTAAAGACATTGCACTGGCTGCCTCTAGCACACCAGATTCATTTCAAAATCAAAATCAATAGTATGATACCATCAGCACCCTGACGTGACCCAGATCAGCTGTTGGCATACTGTGATTGCTGCAAACGTCGGCCATCGGTAGATTAGTTGTACTGGCACTTTATAATTTATTGTATTTTGGATTGTACTGCGATTTGTATCAATCTTCTTGCTTTGGTGTTTTTGTACAGTTTGTAAGCTGCCCTGAGACTGCTTTGCAGGGAGAGTGGGATATGTCAAATAAATAAATACATTTCAAGGTGCTGGTTCTTACCTTTAAAGCCCTTTATGGTCAGGGACCCATATACCCGAGGGACCGCCTTTCCCCACATGTACCCCAGAGAGCGCTGTGATAAGGGGCACTGAATCGGCTGGCCCTCCCGAGTCTCAAGGGGGCCAGGTTGGCAACAACCAGGGCCAGGGCTTTCTCGGTGGCAGCTCCGTTCTGGTGGAATGAGCTCCTGGAAGACACCAAGGCCCTGCAGGACGTTTTGCAGCCTACAATTGACAGCCTACAATCGGAGAGCCCTTTCCCCCCCTGGGACTTTAACTACAGCCTGAGCTAACCCCCTAAGACAATCTAAGAAGATCAAGGAGCCGAGTGCGAGATGAGAGGACTCAACACCAACAACCGGTGGGGAAACATCACTGCTAGCACTTTATTATGTTTTATGGTTTTAGAATTGTTATTTGCATTAAGAAGAAGAAGAAGAAGAGAAGAGATTGGATTTATACCCCGCCCTGCACTTGGAATCTCAGAGCGGCTGACAAACTCCTTTCCCTTCCCCTCCCCACGACAGACACCCCGTGAGGGGGGTGGGGCTGACAGAGCTCCTTCAAGAACTGCTCTTTCAAGGACAGCTCTTGTCAGAACTACGGCTTGCCCAAGGCCATCCAGCAGGTGCGAGTGGAGGAGTGGGGAATCCAACCCGGTTCTCCCAGATTAGAGTCCGCGGACTTAACCACAACACCAAACTGATGCTGTTTAATCTTTAGTCTATATTATTGTAAATTTTATGTTGTTTGTGTGTAAGCTGACCTGAGCCGGCCTAGGCCCGGGTAGAAATCTAATAAATCAAATCGAATCAAATCATTGGCCCAAGGTCACTCAGCACGGTTCCGTGGCATGAATGCGGATTCGAACCCAGGTCTCCTGGATACTAGTCTAACACTCTAACCACTACACCACACTGTCTCTCAAACGACTGGGATGTGGAAGACCTGAACCAGCATCCTTCGTGTAGCAATTGCCTGCCCCCCCACCTGTAGCAGTCTCCTCTGCTCTTCCTTTCGAGCTTCAAGCCCCTGCCAGAGGCCTCCCCTGAGCCCATGGAGCCTCAATGCCGTGGTCCCCTCGATCTAAGGTTGCCAAGTCTGGGTCAGGAAATTCCTGGAGACTTGAGGGAAGAGTCTGGTCAGGGAATCTCTGTGGGCTATAACGCCACAGAATCCACCCTCCAAAGCAGTCCGTTTCTCCGCTGGGGTTGATGCCTGCCATTTGGAGATCACTGTCAGCCAGGCCTCTCTCGACCCCTGGCTGCCACGGGAGTGGGGGTGGCTCTGGAATGTCAAGTTTCTTTTCCGCTGTGTCTTCTCAGCTTCCTTTATCTCTGTCTGACCTTCAGTGCCTGGTGTCGTATTTCTCTCGGGAAAAGTGACCCGTTACTTAGGCAGGCCTCTACCTGGCCTTTGATTGGCCCTGGGCCATCGGGAGGGGGGTCTCCTTGAACAATGCAGAACTGTTTGCTTCGCGCACGGGGGTCATTTCGTAGAAAAAGAGGTGCAGGAGCTCATTAGCATAACTCATTAGCATAACTCATTAGCATATGGCACACCCCCTGACATCACCGGAAGTGTGTCAGAAGGCAATACCCACCGCCAAGGGTCATCTCGTATAAAAAGAGGTGCCGAAGCTCATTAGCATAACTCATTAGCATAACTCATTAGCATATTATTGCATAGAGTTCTGCTCACTGTATCTCCAAAACGACATTGTGAAGATGGGAAAAGTACAGAGGACCGCGCACTTTAGTTCTAACACGAAATGCTTAAGATATCTGCATCCTCTCATGTTCTCAATAAGCTTTACTTCTTTGAATGAAAGCTGTTGGGAACGGATTGCTGCAGGAATCTGACAATCACTTGTCCTGGGGGGGGGTCTCTGGGCCCCCGCCGGGAGGCTGGTGTGTCGCCCCTCCCTCGATCTGCCCTTGGCCCTGGGCTGCCTCCTCTTTGGCACTGGCCAGAGGTTGCCTTCCCAGGCGGCCCGGCTCCAGGCGACTCTCTCTCGCTTTCGCTGCCCCCCTAACTTGTTGCGGGGGCCGGCCCTTCTTTTGGCAGGCGCTCAGGAGCCGCGAGAAGTCCCCTCCTTGCTCTGGTGCCCATCTGCTCCCGCTCTGAGTGACGGCGCGCTGGCAGGCCTGGCGAGTGAGGCGGGGATGGGAGCGGCGAGCAGATGGTAGCGGAGAGGGGGCCGCAGAAGGGCGGCTGTCTCGCTCGGCCTCTTGGTGCCCCTCCCATCTGCACGGTGGAGGGGGGGCTCTGTTTCCCAGTCTCGCCCACCTCTCCCCAGCCGAACCGGGTGTCATCTCCTGCCCTGGGAAGATGTTCCCGGCTCGTCTTGCTGCCAATGGTTGCCGCGGCAACGTGGGAGTCTGATCTTAGCTCCTTAATGAGGCTGAGAGCCTCGGTGGGCATTGTTGACACATCCCTACGACAGTTGGGGAGTCAGGAGCGACACGGCTGCTGTGGAAACTGAGGCAGGAGTGGGCGGGGAAGGGGCCCGGGCTCTCGCGGTGAGTCATGTGCGGAGTGGAGAACAGAATCCAGACCTCCTGACCTCTCTCCCGCACGCAAGGGATCACGTGGCGGGGGCCCCTTGGGAACGGCCCCACGGAACGTGGCGAGTGGGAGATTCCGTGAGTGAACGCTCCCACCCCCCCAAATATGCAGCTCTCTGAACGCAGTGAAGCAGCCCATGGAGGGGGGGGGGGAAGGCGCCATTCCTGTTCGTGAAAGGGGCTTTCAAGGCCAGTGAGCAAGGAGAGGTGGCTGGCCATTGCTTTCCTCTGCAGAGTCTTCCTTGGTGGTCTTGGTGTCGTGGTTAAGTGCGCAGACTCTAATCTGGGAGAACTGGGTTTGGTTCCCCACTCCTCCACTTGCAGCCAGCTGGATGACCTTTGGCCAGTCACAGCTCTCTCAGAGCTGTTCTTAAAAAAGAGCAGTTTCTGTCAGAGCTCTCTCAGCCCCACCTCCCTCACAGGGTGTCTGTTGTGGGGAGGGGAAGGGAGAGGAGTTTGTCAGCCGCTCCGAGACTCTTTCGGGTAGTGAAGGGCAAGGGGAATAAATCCAATCTCCTCCTCCTCCTTCTCTCTTCCAAGTACCGACCCTGCTTAGCTTCCGGGATCTGACGAGGCTATACCATGCCCCCTTCCCTCCCGCAGTACTGTGCCTACTCCTAATATATACGCAGACATATATACATATGAAGCTGCCCTCGACTGAATCGGACCCAGGGCCCATCAAGGTCAGACTGGCAGCAGCTCTCCAGGGTCTCAGGTGGAGAAAGGTCTCTCACAGCACGGATGACCCGTTCCTTTTAATGGGGGGCGCTTGGGGCTGGACCTGGGACCTTCTACGTCCCAAGCAGAGGCTCCTCCCCTTTGGAGACTTCTCTGCTGGTGTTCTGGCAGAGCGCTTTCCTGCTGCTCTAGCCTAACTTAGAATCACAGAATCGCAAGAGTTGGAAGGGGCCCTACAGACCATCCGGTCCCACCCCCTGCCCAGTGCAGGACCAGCTTAGAGCATCTCTGACCAATATTAGTCCAGCCTCTTCTTGAGAGCTGCCAGTGAAGGGGAGCCCACCACCTCCCTACAAGGCAGCCGATTCCGCCTTTGGACCACTCTGACCCTGCAAAAAGTTCTGGACTCCTACAAGCAGGTTGTTTGGCGTAAGGGAAATATCTGGTTCCCCATGGCGGCACCCAAACTGAACATGGCCACTCTGCACTTGCGAGCGGGGGCAAGGCAAGGCTGCCCGCGGGGCCCAGCTGCAAGCCACTCCAAGCTTACCTGGGCTCTTCCGGCTCCGTGCCCAGCAGCCCTTTCTCCTGGCTCTTGCTGCTGCTGCCGCCGCTGCTGGTCGGGCTGTTCTCCGACATGGGGCCCACGTGGCTGATGCTGGAAGGGAGCGAGAGGCACGCCAGGGTCAGGCCGGGTGCAGCGCCAGCGAAGGAGCCCTCACGCCGAGTGGGCACACGTCCTCCAAGAACTGCATCCCAGCATCCCATGCGGGGCTGCGAGGGGTCCTCGCGGGGACACGTTTCTCGGAGAACGCGGTGTGGGCGCCGGGGGTGCGACTCGAGGGTGGGGAATTCCTGATGGATGTGATTTGGGGGTGGAGCCTGGTGGAGCCTTAGGGAGGTGCCGGGCCACAGAATCCGCCCTCCAAAGCAGCCATTTGCTCCAGCAGAACTGATCTCTGTAGCAGGGCTGCCAACTCGGAGTTGGGGAATTCAGGGTGGGGGCTGCGGCGGGGGCACACGTGGGCCAGGCTGCAAGGCTCCATTTTTCAGAACATGCATGTGTAGGGTTGCCCCCCCTGGGAGAGGAAAAACCTGAGGAATGTGATTTGGGGTGGAGCCATGGGAGGGCGGGGTTTGGGGAGGGGGGATTTCACTGGGGCATCACGCCGCAGAGGCCCACCCTCCAAAGCAGCTGGGAGACCTCCAGGCCCCACCTGGAGATTGTGGCAACCCGAGGTGCAGTGTTAGGAGAATCAAGTAACAAATCAATATACACTGCAAGAACCTTTTGTAAATTGACGTGCCCTGTCTTTAACTATCATTCTATAAAGTGCATTGTGTACTATTAGGATATCCTTGTCAGGTAAATATATTCAATACATTCAGTATAGCAGTAACATTCATTCATTCCATTTAACAACTACCGGTCAATTTAGGCATCAGTATTTTAAAAGTCAAGCCCCAACGGGAGTTTCCAGAATTACAAGCCCGCTTCTACTTGCATGAAGCCTTCCAAAAAGGGGGGGGGAGAGCTTTCATTTATAGTTGTGTTCAGGGGACATTTTGAAGAAAAAGTG